TGCAGCAGTGCATCTTCCTTGGGAAACCTGCATCAGATCCTGAGCAGGTCTGAACTCTCTCCAGCTTGTAAACAAGATGACAACCTGAGGCTATATATATATATATATATGTATGTATAAAAACAAGGCCAGATGCTGCTCTCTGAGAAATCTGTGGCATCTGGCTTAATTGAAAGCCAAAGAATAATGATGAAGGGAATCTTGGAAACTTTGTTTCAAGCTTGATGGGTGAAGAGGAAGAGCTTGGCTTGAGCTTGGAGATCATCCTGTCTTTTCTGACCTCTCCCTTATGATGACTGGCCAGCTTTTTCCTTAAATGCAATCGCGCATCTCTACACCTGCACCAAGGGAAAAGGCAAGAAGGGACAAGGCAAAAAAAGAGGTGAAAAGGTCTGTAGCTCCATACTGTGCTTTTATGTTGACATCTCAAAAGTTGCCCTTTGCAGATCTGTTCACTGAAGATTTAAACTCCCATAGAGAACATCTTGCCCTCAAGGGTTCATAATTTAATGTTCCCGATGAGGAAATTTAACATAGGGGTTTTTTAGACAAGTTTTGATGAATTTATCTGAGGAACAGACTGTTTCACAATATTTGGGTCGCGGTAGAGCTGTGAGAGAGATTCTCCGGATTCTCTGTGCAGGAAATGAGAAGGCGGAGAGGAGGAAGTAGCTTTAAAATGCTCTCTGGTTTTGTACACTGTGAGTTTAATGTGTGTGAAAAATAGAACACCTTCATGCCTCCGCAGGAGAATATAGGCCTGCTACCACCTGGAAAATTTGTTAGCGCCAGCCCTCTGACATCTCAGATTAATACAGGATTGAGTATTTTAATACTGCATTTCCAGTAAACTGGTGGGTGCTTAAAGTGGTTTAACGTCCAGGACTAAAATGATAATTATGATGCTGACTTCAGAAGAAACATTCTGAAACATCAGTGGTAACTAGGAGTGCAGTTTACTCCTAAAATATGCTACTAAGGGAAAACAATCTTTTTACGATTGTTTACTTCTTATGCCACTGACACATTCTTTCAGATCAATATCTGTAACTGTGTCTTTACTTCCAACATCTCCAAACACATGAAATATAAACTTCCACTGGGAAATAATATACCAAAAATGGATCTTGGTTTGCTAATGAGTGTATACATCCAAATTATCTATACTTTAAATATTAAATTAAACTGAAATATAGGAAGCTGGAATGGTCTCAACTTATCTGGAACTGAAAGCAATTATTTTTATTTAAGGCTAATAATGACTTGATTTACCTTCTTACTTTTTATTTCTTATTGCTCAGTGCAAGGGACACTTACTTCAATATTGGATGTATTGAGTAGAGGTGATAAAAATGTTTGTGCAGTACATAAATGAACTTTGAACAAATATTAATAGAACTATCTTGGCAACGTGAAGAGAAATGATTGGACCCATGACTTAACACCTGCTCCCGCAGAGGAACACGGATACATCCGTTAGACATCTGATCATCACCTCTTCATACCCCGGAGGCAGAAATGGGTGTTCACATGAAACCCTGGTGACTGACATGTGGAACAAAAGGAACAGCATGAAAGAAGTCAAAATCTGGATATCTCATGCTTGCAGGAAAAGGATGAGATTGTGGGTTCAAGTACAGTCCCAAGACCAGGTCTCATGCCAGAGAGAGTGCCCCAGCAAGCCGGAGCTGGCACGTAAGGGAGGACGGCATTCAGGCCTCTCTTTAATATTCTACTCAGTGTCCTGAATTAAGGCAAAGAAACATCTGCATCCTGAACTGTGCATTTTCTGGTTGAAGAACAGTCATAAAAATCTTGAGAGCTGTGGGTAACGCAGACCCAACACTCATTGTTCGGAAGGACAGACTGCAGGGAAGGCTGTGGCAGGATCAGGGGTGAGACATATCCTACATATCAGGAAAACTACAGCATCAGCGAGAGAAGCAGACAGACAGATTAGAGGAAGGACATAAGGTCTCGCTCATTAGCTGGGGATCGGTTATCTTGCACCGACTTTCAGTCTAGTTCTTGCAAACTTTCTGCATAATATCTCTAGGAGAGACCAATTCCTGCCTGGAAGTCTCTGCCCACCTTCCTATTATCTTGGGTCCCAATTATTACAATGTCTTCACCCGTTGTCATGACAGCTCCGGATGACTCCTGGTGTCAACGAAGAAAGCTGCTGCACAGACTGTTTTTCATCATCATTTTTCTTTTAGCATCCCTCTGCTTTTTACTTCCTGCTTCTCTTCCAAATTACATTTTTACCTTCACTTTTAAGGCCTTTCCTGGCTTATCCTCCTCCTCTCTCTTATTTCTTACTGAAACCACTCTGATCAGCCAGTGCTGCCAGGCTTTGTCATTTAATTGCTCTCTTCAAACATACACTTTTGTCCCTTGTGAACCCTCAGCTTTATACTGAATATGACGTGTATGGAATGGAATACTTTGCTGGTCAGTTTTTGGGTCACCTGTCCTGTCTCCTCCTCCCCATAGGTGTGACCTTTTCTTTACTTACTATTTTTTTAATATTATGACTTGTTTTATAAGAGCTATGATAACAAATAGCACACATGATAAAAGAGTGGGTTGGATCTTATGGAATATCAAGTGATTTACATAATTGTACACTATCATCAAATGCAGAAAGAGTTAGTTTGGTTTGCTCATGCTCTGCCAAGGTAAATCTATACAATAATCATCTCCAGTTACTGGAAAAGACACAGTTATTTGTAACATATATTCTAATGTTTCTTCCTGCAGACAAATATGTTTTCAAAAAGAATCACAAAATTGGCAGTTATTGTGCAGCTGAGTGAAATACATGCCCAAATATTCATCCCTCAGTTTTGCATGCAATTATTCAAGTTTACTTGCAGTTTTGATAGCAGTAAATTTATCACACACAAAATCTATGGACAAATTAATGTGCATATAATTTAACCCTTTTCCCTGCTCCCCTCTTCTTAAAGAGTATAGACAACTTTCCAGTTCAAGTTGATGTCCGTATGGTATATGGTAGAGTACATTCTGCCATCTGCTGAGTGAAATAAGAAATGCTCATAGATTCAACATTGAAAGGGATAAAATTGTGCCCCTCCATTCCTTTGCTATTTTAAACACAGAAAGGAATGTAATCAGAATAGTGGGCAGATGTAAGCAAGGATTTAAACCAGAGGAAAGGAAGTTCATTACAGCGTTGCAGTGTGTTGCGAAGGGAAAAGATACTTGTGAAATTGTGTAAAGTCAAAGAGGCAGTCCGACAAACAGAAAAATAGTCAGATGTCAATACAGAAGATGAAGGCAATTTTTTTTTTCTGTTGATTTAGCAGTAGTACTTTGCCCTTTGGCCCTGTGTATTTGGTAAATATTTCGAGCAGGACATTCACAGTGTTTTCTTTCTGAGAAGAATAGCATGTTCCCAATTGTTTAATGTTGTGGCTAAAATTTGTGTTTTAAATGCAAACACTAAAAACTTTATAAAACAAAAATAAACTATTTAGGATCACAGCAATAAGAGTTTGACATAACCTAGCTTCTTGTTAGAGCTTCAAATGTCCCTCACTCCTCCTCACAGGCTGTGAGTCAGCAGGGGAGGAGGATACTTAGATTAGAAACACCAAACTGTGGAACAATGATTACACAAATGTTATTCTGGTTGCACTTCAGATGCTCCTGCAGTTAAAATCTGCTAAATTAGGAGAACTGCAGTGATCAGAACCTCAGCTGATATCTGTGGAGTTTTGACTTGATGACCCCAAATTGCAGTGCCTAAACAAGTTTTTATATCACCCAAAAATATGAGTTAGGTTTGAATCATAGAATCATAGAACAATTCAGGTTGGAAAAGCCCCTTGGTATCATCGAGTCCAACCATTGACCCTACACTACAAGTTCACCCCTAAACCATCTCACCCAACACCACATCTAAGTGACACTTGAACACATCCAGGGATGGCGACTCAACCCCCTCCCTGGGCAGTCTGTTCCAGTGTCTGATCACTCTTTCTGTGAAGAATTTCTTCCTAATGTCCAGCCTAAACCTGCCCTGTTGCAACTTGCAACCATACCCCCTGGTTCTGTCCCTAATGACCTGTGAGAAGAGACCAGCACCAACCTCTCTACAATGTCCTTTCAAGTAATTGTAGAACATGATGATATCCTCCCTCAGCCTCCTCTTGGTCAAACTGAACAGACCCAGCTCCCTCAATTGCTCCTCATAAGGTCTGTTCTCCAGGCCCTTCACTAGCTTTGTTGCCCTCCTCTGCACTCGCTCCAACACCTCGAGATCTCTACTATACTGAGGTGACCAAATCCCTGGTCACAAATAAGCACATTCCAGGATCATTATTTCATTGCTCCTGCAGTGCTGGCATTGCGGGCCCTGTCTCTGACGCTTTTAGTTGTCTGTTATTTGAAAGAGGATTATTGATGACATGACTCTCACCCAGCTAGCCCATAAAGGCTGAAGTTTCAGGCCAGATCATCACCTAGTGTAAACTGGCATGAAGTTGGTACCATCACTGGGGGTTCATGACAATCCCAGTGTCCCTCCAACACCAATCGTTTCACCTTAAAAAGATTTTGTTACAACTCTTAGGACTCTTTGGTACACAGAAGTGATAAACAAAAGCTTCTTAGTGACAGTTCTATTATTTGACCCAATGTCATATTCCAAATACCCTCATCCTCTAAAGATGGTGAGAAGATAATACTGTTTTTTTCAAAAACATCAGTCTCAACAGATGCTCTGCAGAAACAACCAGAGACGTTTTCAGCAGAGACTGCTCTCTGAATTCCCGCATTATGTTCAAATGCAACATGTGATGGGTTGTTTCATCCTTCGTTCCAAGCAACACAAGGAACCTTTTATCTTCTGTTTACTAGGACGGGAATAAATACAAAGAGTTAATAAGTAACCATCCTTTTGCGGGTGCCTTTATTTTTAAGAGAAGAGCCACTGGACGGAGGGTCACTCGGGAAGCTCGGGACTGGCCGCGATGTTCCCCCTGGCACTGCTCGCCTGCGCAGCTGCTCTGAGCCACTGTGCTCTCGCAGCCAAAGGTAAGTGCCTTCCGCTTTCTGAGGGCAATACTACCCTGAAGCGTGAATGAGGGAAGCTGGAGAAAGGGTTTTAAAACCTTTAGACAGTCCTGATCAAGCGTTTTGAAAAGTGTTCTGAAAGCTACTTCCTTCCTTCCCCCCCCTTCTATCCCTTCTTCTCTCCCGTCCTATGGCAAGGTGAATTGCTGTACACAAAAAATGGAGAAAACCAGAAGAAATATGGACAGAAGGTGTGGAAACCAGGCTGCCTGCACACTGGGGGGCCTTGTGCCTGCTGGGAGTTACCCTCGCTCTGTCCCTCTGCCCATCTCCCCTCGCTCCCCCCTCTGCCATTGGGGCTGCCTGGCACAGCTCCTGTCTCACTTTTCTTCTCCTTTCCCCCACTCCACGGGCTCTGGGCACTGTCTCATGTACTTTCTCCTTCTGTGTGTCATTTGTTTCTACCGCATGAGCTTTGCTTTCCTCTTCTTTCTCCCCACAATC